TTCCATTATCTTCATTTTCTTTGTTTTCCAGCGAAAGGAAGATGGAAAAAAGTGAATAAATAAGAGAGTGAAACTAAAATATAATTTGTTTGTCAATGGCTTCCTAGCTATCAGCTTCTCTCTCCTAAGTTTATAAAGGCGTAAGTTTATAAGAGTGCATTATCCTATATTGGTGAAAAATCTGTTTATAGCGGTTTTGTTTTTTCAGTTGATGAGTAGATTAAAATCCGTCTTACACGGTACAATGGGGAGCCAATAAGTGTTGGAAATTCGTCTGCGAGGCATTAAAAATATAGTAAAAACATTTAATTAAATAATTGTAATAGGCAAAACAATCTCTACTTACAAAACTAGCGGTAAACTTATCACAAACTGTAACTGTAAGAACATCGAAAGTCTAGAAATTTCGTTAACGCTACTAAATTGACGCTGTCTACTAACTTCAATAAATAAACTAATTTTAAATTAACTTAAGTAAGCAAGAGTGGAACAATTTAGGAGGTGAATTAACTATTATTAGTATCGGACAGTCTTTGAAAGACATAACATTTCTGACTTAAGAAAATAATGTAAAACAAGGCTAAATATAATGAAACCTTAAAGTTTTAAAAGATAACGGACTCTCAACGATGTTATTTGCATTAAATAAATCTTTTATCTTTACGACTCCTCTTTCAAAGCTGAATGGTATTAAGGTCGAAGGTGCTTGAATAAAACATTTTGCTGGTAGTAAATAGTTCTATAAAAATACAGTCCTTTCGGGACAAGGATTTCTCGAATGCCTTTACAGGATCTTGCAACTTTATTTTTCATTTCGGTAAGTCGGAATCTATTTTCATGCTACAGATTTTGAACTGCATCATTAATGTAAAGGCGAAACAGTCAATAGCATATGCCCATTACTCATTAAAATGAATAATTATTTATTTTAATAAATATATGATAGCTTAAAAATAAAAATAATGATAGCTTAGCGTGGAATGGGAGTGAGAGTTAATACCGATCAGTGAGGCATTAATGAAGGGCAAAACATTTCTAACCTTTTCAGAAATGAAGGACGTTCCATTGTAAAACGAATAAAAATGTCAACATTTTATTTTCAAATTCATTTGCGAATAACGGAATTGCGAATGTACGTCAAAATAAAGTCGGAACATTTTTAAGATGAGTGAATCATATAGATAACTTCGTGCTCAGGAAGCAAACTTAACACTAACTACGTAGCCATTGTGCAAGCCCGAAGAAAAAGTTGTATATTACGTCTAAAAGTTTATAATTATGATTGATGCAAAGTGGTTTTAAAAAATCATATTTGTGCATTAACAGTATTATAAGCTGTGATAGGTCAGTGTCCTGGAGCTCGCTTTTAATTAAATATACTCAAAATCTAATCAAAATCAAATATCTTTATTCAATATAGGAGTATTACACTCGCTTGACTATCAAGTCACAATACTGAGAAGAACCGGCGAAAGAAAGTCAGCGGGCTTTCTTTTTTCTTTTTTTTAAATAATCAGTTTGACATGAATATATTACAAATACAATATAAGAACTTTGATTGAAAGAGCCTGGATCGATCAATTCATTACCAGAGTGTGTTATCATTTAAAGTAAAAAAGTAAAGTAACAGCCTATACATGTCCCACTGCTGGGCAAAGGCCTCCTCTATAGAGAGGGTATCAGGGCATAGTCCACCACGCGGCCCAACTGCGGGTTGGCGGACTTCACATATCTTCGAAATATATATTTTTTGTTATTATTTCGAAAATATGCAGGTTTCCTCACGATGTTTTCCTTCACCGCGGAGCACGTGATAAGTCAGCACTTAAAGTTAAAAACTTCATTGGTGCCGGCACCGGGGATCGAACTCAGGTTGCTCGAGTATATTGAATTAAAGGCGAGCGCCCGGACACTGAGCTATCACGGCTCGTCATAGCTCATGTTATGTCTCTCGGCTAGTCATGTTATCATTTAAATAATCATTATTATTATAATAGCCTTTAATTTGAAGTCAGGTTGCGCCTCGTGCAACCTGACTTCAAATCCCGTTGCTAGCACCAAAGAAAATGCAACTTTACTTGCTGATTTATCATATTCTCAGCGACGAAGTAAAACGTCATGAGAAAACCTGCATATTTTCGAAATAAAAATATAAAAAATATTTCTTAGATATGTGAAGTGCGCTCCGCAGTGGGCTCAAGTAGTTAATAACCTCTATACAGGGGTGGCTTTTCCCCAGCATTGGGACACATATTTAATTACTTTACAATGGTAACAGTCATGTTACATAAGCGACAATGGTCGATAAATAGAGTAATGATTTAGACATATACGGGCTGATATTTCATTACGCTATAATTATAGACAGACAACTGTTTTTACATGTATTATTGGACTATGTAAACTCGGCGAACCTTATAATAGTAACTCTAGGCCCTTAGAAATAGATTATTGTATTCTACTCAGAACATTAAACATATGTAGTATATATTAATAACAAGTTTTGCAGAATATTAACCAAATAACAGTTTGTTATGCTGCTCTTCATCCATTCTGAAAATTCATCGCCAATAGCGTTAGAATCTGTTTATATTACCATTTACATAAGAAATTTATGTCTGCCAAGTCTGTATTATAAATTCAAATCAGTAAACATGACTCACTAACCCGTAAACAGCCATCTGTTACCTAAATATAGTTCACAGGAATAATCAGGCTCTTATGCAAGCTATGGACGACGTGTTAAAACGCATTTGCATTGTATGAGCAATATCGCGTAAAAGTGTGGCCATACCACATTAACTGTGGTAGGGCCACAGAGCAGTCAATGTTGCACGAATAGCCAGGTCCGTCCGGGTAAAAACTACGACTACACAGAAGACCGTCGTGAAGTGGAAGTATCATACTTCGGCGTTTCGTTTGGTGAGTGAGGTACCCGGGGTCAACTTTACTTAAAGACGGCAACGCGTCTGAAACCCTACGGGTGTTGCAAATGTCAATGGATGGTGTTTATCACTCAACATCAGGTGAATCGCCAGCTCGCTTGCCACATACTAAAATAAATAACAATATAATATTAAATAACATAAATGCAGCTTTCTCCGAAAGTATCAAACGGATAATAAGAAAAACCAAACAACGTTTCCTTTGTTAGACTTGTTAGACAAAGGAAATTTCTTTCTAGAAAGAATCATAAATGACAGCTTAAGAATAAACTTACTCTATTATTAACGCTGACGAGAAAGCCGTCTAGTCTCAACGAATGAATGAGTTTGCCATTGAATACCTATTGGAAGTCATGAATGTGTATGAACGTAGGCGGCACCTTTATTGGAAATTAAGAGTGGGCATCACGCGACGCGTGGAATCATAATAAATTTGACGTGACAGTTTTATCTACAAGAGTTTTAAAGAGGCGTATAATGTCAACCCACTCATTGGATAATATATTTATGTATACATAAAATCGTTGGCGCATCTGTCAGTGAACATGTCACTTCTAAACGACCGACTGTAATTGCATGATATATATCATTATAATGTTTGTTTTTGCGATAGGATAGTTAGTAGCTGTAGAACCATCTTTTCGAAAGGGGATTAAAATTTATAACACTCCATTTTTCGTCCAAGATCTCTTTTAAATATCTTGCATTATCATTACTTCAAAAACTATATATTATCCTGCAATGTCAGCCATATAACCATCCATCAACATTGTTTCATAGCAGTGGTCAAATGGCTGAACGCAATATCTTATTATCTACTTATTTGCTTATTATGTTACTTAAAAAAACTGTATATTATCCTGCAATGTCAGCCAACCATCAATAAACATTGTTTCATAGCAGTGGTCAAATGTCTGAATGCAATGTCTTATTAACTTCTTATTTGCTTATCATCTTACTTACGCCTTGGTCAGCAAACATATATATAAATGCACATGATTTAGGGACTAATTATAATCTATAAAATTATTATACCGGATTCGCTCAATTGTATCATCTTGACGTTTAAAAGAAGCCATGAAACCAATACTATAAAAAATATTTTTTTAAAAGAAAATATTTTTTTTTGGACTACTTATGTGAGATTACACTTTATCACAGTTTCTGTAAGAAATGTAGTATGTTGAGAAAAAAAGAGACGACAGAATTTAATTCTTTCCAGATAAGTGGAACATAAAAGCTCTTTTCTTCACCTGCTTGCTCTCTAGTAAAAATGCTTAATGAGAATATTGTTTAAATATAGTTTCAACTCTGCAAGCGAGAATGGACTTTAAAAATTAATAAGCAATTTAATATTGTGCATAATTTATAAGCAACTTTTTTTCTACAACAAATCCCGTGTAATATTAATTCCAATTAATCTTTTTGAGCTTTTTTACGAACTTTCAATCATTAATTAAACTTCGCGTGTTTCACAATAATTAAGCCTTAGCACTTAACAGTCTTGAAATTTGTTTTCATTTTATTATATAAAATTCTGTTGGAATAATTATTTTATGAACCGAAGCATTTTATAGCACACCTATGCCCGTTTTCCCCATCGATCCCTAGCTTTAAGAGAAACCAAAAAATACTTAATGGGCTTCATTCGTATTCAACACCGCTTAACCAAGTGTTAAAGTCTTAAGCGTGTTTGTAGCTCTAAGCTTGTTTTTCCGAAAATAAAAATTACACCTATACATAAAAAGAGAAGAATTATTTCGAACACTAATAATGAATATTCAAAATAGTTTCTATTTCAGGTATAATTAAAATGCACAAATACAAGGAATATTCTTCCGCAGTTCAAACATTTTCCATTCACCGAAAACTTGCTCGAAATTGCTCGGCAACAATCCATCGACCAGAGAATGAAGCCACAAATTCTAAATTGTACTCAGATACAGTTCGAATAAACGTTTGATGGTAAATTTGAAATTTTTGGTAAATGCTAAATACCTTTCAAGTTCACTGTGGAAGGGTCCCGTAGCGGCCTCTAGTTCTACTATATCATGAATGGGCAGATTCATGCAGGGAAGCCCCATGGCCTCACAGAAGTCCAGCATGAAGAAGAGAATAATATACGAGGGCCGTTCAAGGTATTCCCGGTGTATTAATTATGAGGGTAATAAAATTTTCTCATTATTTTGTTCTTTTTTTAAAAAAAACATTTCCCTCACTTTAGAATAACATTAACCTGTGTTGTAAGGACGCTTTATAACCATAATTTGCACGAGGACAAACACCCAGATGCGAAACAACTATCTGTGGGTCGCACAAATAGTTGTTCCGTGTGGGAATTAAACCCACGACCCCCGACGCCGAAGCCGATACCATGGCAATTGCGCCACGGAGTCATCAAGATATTAAAAACACTTTTTGAGGTTATAAATATAAACATTTAGTTTTCACCATTAGTATTCAAGATATTGTTACGAAATAAAAAAGTTATTCACGAAGAAATGGTGGCTATCTCTGCTACTTCATCATCTACTATTCAGAAGTGGTCTCGTGAATTCGGGATAAAGAGAGTATCGAAGTTGACCCCCTTGCCGGTGTTCCGGTTAGTGCCACTATTGAAGAAAACGTCAAAATCGTTAAGAAACTTGTCTCGAAGTCTCTCTTAACTCAAAGATGCTGTGGCTACCATTCACAGTATCCTTCATGAATCTGTCAATTAGAAGCAAGTGAGTGTTGCAAAGAGTTTTTGGAGCTCTGTGGAGAAAATCCACACGTGAATTCATCACTATGATCCCGAAAGCAAGCATCTGCAAGCTGTTGTATTTGTCTATGGGTGGCGGTAATCACTTAATAGATGATCCTTCGACCCGACTGGCAAATTTTCACATATAAAAAAACTCGTATGTAGCTTAATTTCAAGTAACTAATAGTTGTGTTCCCATTCATGTTTTAACTTTATGGAACTACACAATAGCTGCTTGTGCTAAATGAACTAGCCAATTCTAATAGAGAAACTATCAAAGGAAGAATAGAAGACTGACGTGAAATAGGAGTGTTCACTCGAATGGGGTTCGAGAGCCGAATCTGCAACTCCACTCGTGTTGCAATACCGATAACGTATCAAGCATTTTCCATCAAACCTTTGACTCGAGCAAACCGCCACCTACATTAAAATAATTTATGACAATTGTTACTTTTATCAACTCCAACACTCTTGATGAACATGTTTTAAATATGATGACCCTGTGGCGCAGTTGCCAAGGTATTGGCTGCGGCGTCGGGGGTCGTGAGTTCGATTCCCACAGGGGACAACTATTTGTGCGACCCACAGATAGTTGTTTCGTATCTGGGTGTTTGTCCACGTGGAATTTATGTTTGTAAAAACGTCCTTACAACACAGGATAATGTTATCCTAAAGTGAGGGCAATGTTTAAAAAAAAAATTACGGCAATTTAGAACAAAAAAAAAGAAACATCACAACATAGTGTTAAACGACAGCACATATCTGTACAAACATTTGCACCTTCATCTTCAAAATTTGCGCAACAGATGAAATTACTGCGGAGGATTGATGTCGGGCGATTACAAAAATGTGCCAATCACGCGATCCAGTGGAGCACAAGTAACGACCTCTGAGGGCTGAATACACCCCGCCGGTGTCAGATTAGTGACCTTCGCACGGGTTTTGAATGTCGTGTGTATTACGCAAAAATATTGGGGACATGCATATTTATAAAGCTTGGAGACGAAGTGCGTCACGGGCACTGGTTCATACATGTTCACATGTTTGATAATCCAATTTTGTACTGGTGCGTTATACTTACCTCTCTGTCTAGATTAATTATTGAATATAATACGTAACTGTTTGATGCTAAAAATAAGTGAAACTGTTTTATAGATCTTATCACGTTTTAGTGGAACAGTTGAATAACCGAATGAAGCAGTGAAAATTAAAAGTGCAATTTAAGTCAGTAGTAGTTTCATTAAATAACTAGCTGCTGCCCGCGACTACGTCTGCGTAGAATAGGCTGAAGGCGTAACACTCATACAGAAAGACTGAAATACATAAAATATGTATTTTATATATATGTATAGCCTATGTCTGATTCTGATGTATAAGCTATCTTATTGTAAAGTTTCATTAAAATCCATTCAGTAGTTTTTGCGTGAAAGAGTAACAAACAGCCATCCAGACATACAAACTTTCGCATTTATAATATTAGTAAGGAAGGAAGTAAGGATATGTTGTATTCGCGTAAATACATGAAGTTACTGTAAGCTTATAAAATGCTACGTGAAAATGTCATAAACACACTGATTCGCTTAAAAAAATATCCTCCTTGGGCGGTCGGGTAACAAGAATTGTTTGACCTGGTAGGTCATTACCACCAATATATTCGTCAATATAAAGTTAGTTGTAAAAAAAAATATTATTCATATTCAATTTTAATTACTCGACTAGGCTGTGAATTTTTCAACTCTAATTTCCTTAAATGGAATATGACAATCGAGTAATTTTAACAAATTAACAATGAAAATCTATGCCTTTACATGAGAATTTTGTAAGTGCTAACCTTAAAATATGCACAAATAATTTGAAATGTAGAAAAACAGAAAAGTTACATTTTCCAAGGAACTATTTTAAAATCCTCATCCTTCCTACAAGGTGATTCAGTTTTAATGTGTTGTTAATTAATACAAAAGAATGATAAAAATTATTTTTACTAAAATTTCATTGATGCGATAACTCTCTAAACGAAAATTTATCGCACAATCTACATTAATTTCCAACATTCCGCGTTCCGCAAAGTTTGGCTCGGAGCTGAAGCCAGCCGAATACAAATTATACGAAATTATGAAAAAAGAACGGAGGTTGTATAAATCGAGTAAAGATAACTTTGATCGCCGTAAAAATCCCGAAATTATCCAATCACACTAAGACTTTTGGCAGGAATTTCGGATGAAAATAAGATTAAACAAATTTTCTGAGTCCTTATCCCTCGTAAGGGCCCAGAAAATTTATTCTCTTAACCGTTTTATCTGTTATTCAAACAAGTCTATCGCTAGAACACCGACAATTTTTATTTCAACACGACAAGTAAGTTTCTATATGCAAAAATAGGAAAACATCAAGTAAATTGATGTTGTCCTATTTTTTAATTCCTTACTCCATGTAATATAAATTTTAAGCAAAACGGCAATAAGGAAAAAAAACTAAAAACACGTTTTACATGACTATAATTATATATTTTCTATATATTATTAATCAATAATTTTAAATAATATTTTTTTGGAAAGTAGCTAATTCTGAAGGTCCTGATCAGGATAAATGGAAAACTATTTAAATTATTGCATTGTCATGGGTCTTTAACGAGTGTGTAAAGTTTGATTTAAATGTAATCTCTCAAATTGGGGCGAAATCACGTTTAAAGATTCCGTTACATTATAATACATTTTGATTTTAAAGTTGAATCTAATGTAAGCGTTTAAAAAAATACAGAAAGCTTTTCTAGTTTCAGTACATACCTAGAAAAATGAATTGACAAAGAGAGACTGTCAAAAGGTTGTATCTTCGTCCTTGTAATTTTTGTTTTAAGATTTTTGTGACAACGATGAAATAAATAATGAATCAAACATAATAATATAACAACGTTACATTGCATGCAGTCTTTTAATAGGGCGATGCGAAGTTTTAATAGCATTTACGAGATTTAGTAGCAACCAAACTCTTATCGTAAAGAGCAGCCCTGGCTGGAACTTTCTATGGTTTAACTGTTCTAAGTGTTTAATGGTCTAAGGCCATAACATCTGTAAGGAAGTTAGATATACTTACTAGAATAAGGTAAAAAAAATAAAAACTACAGGAAGGCAGCACTTAACACCGGAACAGTTTCTATACCTTATACAGAACAACTAGGTCATGTATGAAATACTGCTGACATATTTAGACGGGTGCCGTAAATGCTATCTTCATTGCCTTGGATTGAGTACAGTGCTGTGAAGAGGCTCATTGCCTCCTTGGAAACAGACGAACGGTAACCAGCCTCTCGGTTTTTACTGGTTAAATTTGGGTGTGTGCATCGAAATTAGACGAATTGAATCCTCCTTGTAGGATGAGCTCCCACAGATGGAGTGACGATCTGTGCAAGTGTGCGGGAAGTGGATGGATGCAGGTGACTCAGGATCGTGCTGGGCGTTCTGCATCCCACAGAACAAATAACACAGACGGATAATGGGAGCCATCACTCAGCAGAGGACTCAAACAGACTGAAATGATTCCTCCTTCCCATCTTCATAGACACTCGGCCCAAGTAATTCTTTACCACGAGATATTCCACGCACTCGACAATCACTTTATAAATACAGCAAAGTGGGTGATGCAGGTTTTGTTTTATGTGTAACAATTATATCCCCACGATTTGCAAAAAATACAAACAGTCATTTCATCCTACTTGCTACGAATAAAATATCAACTCTGTTCCGTTAAAATAGATGCAAAACCTGAAAGCTTTTACTTCACTGAAAAATTTTCTATTACAGCGAATTGTTATGGAAAATTGTATTTATAATATAAAATGTATGTTTCTTTTTTTATGTGAGAAGGTGTCAAGTGAGCACATGATCTTAAGTGGTAACTGCCGCTCATCGACATTTGGAACACTTCAGAAAGTCCCTTCTAAATAGCTTTTAGGAATCTTATCGCAGAATGTTATAAAAATAATTATTCGAACGTTATACAGATTGTGATTATAGCACTCGAGAGCAAAAAAGAGCAGGAAATTTATAATATTACGCCAACACTATAATTTTCATCATTCCGTTAAGTTTAGGTGGAAGAGTAAGTTCACCCTTACGTGTACATTACTTATAACATTTATGTCTGTGTCGACTTACTTTATAGCATAATTTGCTAGAAACATAAGTCGCTAGTTTCAAAACTACGTCTCACCAGCCAGCGACATTTTTTTTTAATATTTCAAGCAAGCTAAGTGATTCTGAAAGGCAGCACTTAACAAAGGCATAGTGGCAGATTGTCGAGTGTCGAGTTTGATATTTATTTTGTTATTGTCAGATTCACTTCGTACGAAATCGCCGAAAGGTTTTCAATGTATTATTATTTAAGATTGCGATTATGTTGAGTTGATTATATTATTTTATCCATCAATTTTATCGTTCACTTCATTTTAATAATAGTCACTTGGATCATTTATGCTACTCAAATAGTGATGAACCTCAAAAGTCGAGTGAAAATTGTTAATAAACGAGTAAGCTAGTGGATAGGTTTAACTTGTAAAAATAAAAGTCATTCGAGATGACTTTTTTTATTTAAAAGGAAATTAAATTGAAGGATAATGGGAAAAATATTATCTGACGATCTGCATAAGCTGAAGTATCTAAAACAGAGAAATGGAATAAACCTTATATAATTTATATATAATTTTAAATATATAATATTATATATATATATATATATATATATAATTTTTATTTAAATAGAAAATTATTAATGTATTTAGTTCTAATTTTCAAATCGTAGAATGTGACACACAGACAAAACCTAGTCAAGCTAATAAACGAAAACCAAATCGCGTTGAGAACAAACAACCCCTAAAGCTTGGCGGTGCTTAAACGCCGCAGTACAATATCGCAGCGAGGACAGATGATGAGGAGGCGATAGCTACGGGCCCGTTGTATAGCGTTTCGGTTCAAAACAACGGTCGCGACAGGCCTGTCGCTGTGAGCGGCCACGAGCATGCGCGGCCGTCCGCTCGATACCCGGTGACGTCAGCGGCTGTCGGGCCTCAGTCAGGCGCCGCCAGCCCCAGCGCTAACATGTGGCTGCAATGCGTAGCCGTTGCGGCGCTGGTCGCGGCAGCTGCTTCCCGCGAGGTCTTCACCAACACGTTCCTGGTGCGGTTCAAGCGCTCCCTTCGCCACGAGGAAGCCCACGCGGTGGCGCGCGACCACGGCTTCGACAACCTGGGACCGGTGAGCGACCACGTGATGATTAGTAAACATAGCCCGCAAGAACCACGCGGAGGCTTTAAATAGACGCTTCAACGTCCAGCCCGCGAAAACTTTAATATAGCCCGACGCCGAAGGACTGAAAGTTATTAATTGGATTATAGACAGCCAGTAGAGCACGATGACTGAAGTTCACCTCTCGACCAATTAATTCCTTGCTTGAGTCAAACTCTGACGGAATCGTGATTGAGTGTCGTTCGTTTAGAAAGGGTCGCGCGTAGCTTTCCATGGAAATGTTTCCATGACGAAATGTTTGGTATGGTCGTTTAGGGTACGCGGCGCGTACTTTTAAACGCTGAAAATATTGAAGATTCAGTTTTGCGTCAAAAATATTAATCCCTTGTTGTTGTTGTTTTTTCCGATCCCGATTTTTCCCGTCAATAAAATCACACCATGTTATCTATTTCTGGTAAACTAATCCAAGTTATTTGGCACAATTTGATGAATTAAAATTTCGTATACTTAATAGAAAAATTCCTGATTTCAAAATCAGCCAGCCTTTTACTTAAAATTATTTAACAATTATTACAGAGATGCAAATAATTACACACATAATATAAATATTATATAGAAGTTGCCAACAACTATAAATAGGATAGATAACCTATTTACTTCATAGATCATGCGTATACAATATCAGCTTTTGTTTGTTGTCCCGTCATTAATCCTCTCTCACATCTGAAAATAGTACCGCAACTGGACAAATAAAATAGAAGAATATTGTAAATACCAGACTTTTATGTAATACTTACTGCTTACATATTTTCTCTAAAAAGGAAAGCTATAAAAATATGCTATAAAAGCAAAAATTTTAATCAGTTTAATAAATCAAATTTATAAGCAGAATAAAATGAACCGAACAGATATGGATTGTATATCCGTCGAACAGATATTTCTTATAATGACCATTTATGGAAAATGTGATGGTAATACTCAATAAATTATAACATAAATACTATAGAAACGAAAAATACATCTTAGATCAGACTAATACTAACTCTGAAAATATCTCTTGACTTTAAAAGAACCTAACTACGAAGCATCTAACATAGAAATAAAATAAATATCTTTTACATAATGGTTGCATTGTCATAAAAATTCATACTATCACAATATGCTTTACGGTTTTTTTTGTGAAATTAAAGTTATTATTTTATGTTATATATTCATATCATAAATAAATAAAAAGAGAATAAAGTCACTATAATGAAAATTATGTTTCCAGTTTTCAATCATTAATAATATAGAGACATGTTTTATGTTTTCTTTATTTTTCATAAGTATGGAATTAGGTACTTATAGCTTTGACTCGATATTAATTTAACTCTCTATTTTAGAAATCTTAGAAAACATGAAAGTTTTACATTAGAAAGAAAGGAACTCAAGGAAATTAAAAGAATTCTATTGAATTTCTATGAGTTCTAAAACTGTTATTTTAGAACTCTATGGAATAAGTAGGAAGTGGAAGTGTTATATTTCGTTCGTCTGGTGAGTGAGGTAGCCGTGGCCCACCATATTAAAAGGTGTTGCAAATGTCAATGGATGGCGATTATCGCTTAATAATCAAGTGAACTGCCAACCAGCTTACCACCTTCTCACATAATGTTATGTATGTATTATGTATTATTATTATTATATATTCTTTATTGAACACCAAAAAAACATGAAAGGAAATGTTACAGAACTATAAACTTAAGAGGTATAAACAATAAGGCGGTCTTATCGCTAAGGAGCGATCTCTTCCAGACAACCTGGTGGTTAAAAATATTTAATTTGGACAATGGTAGGTGGTGTAAATGATAAACTTACATACTAATATTTAAATAAACTAAACGAATATGTTGTATTTTTGTATAATAATAATATACTAATATATACGAAATAAGATCCAATAGACATACATAAATCTAAACATATACTGTACAATAACTTACAAAAATATATACAGGAAGAAAAGAATAAAAAATAAATATACAAATGTCGTCGGTGATAATCAGATAATAATTTTTAACGTCAGTTTTAAACTTGCGTAACGTTTTTGAGCGCTGTTTGATGTATATTATTACATTATACATCAAACTATTTTCGTAATCTTACACTATTCGCACTACTTTTACACTTGTTAATTTAGTCTTTTACCACATCTAGTTACGTTTAATTTGTGTTCGTTACTCCTTTTTAAATACACACTACGCCATGTTATGTATGTATGAATGTAGCACGGGGAACGTGAGTCAAAGACAAGCGCTGCATTAAGACTGTTTTATTCATTCTTTTCCCAACCACCCTCAACATGCTACTACATAATTATGACACATAAGAAAAATATAAAAAAAACAAAGTTAATTGAACAAAGTTTTCGTTGATATAAAGATAGTCAAGTTATAGGGAGCCGTGAAGAGCTTTTTAAAAACTAAAAATAAAACTAAGAGATGTCTGTACAGAAGCTCATGTACTTTCAGAATGAATGACTTATTCTAATTCGTCCTGTTGCAGACTTACATTATCTATTGCTTATGGCAGTGTCTAGACATGGGCCACACATAGAGTGCAAAGTCAGCAAGCGTTACTATGCGCGTACTTCTATGACTCTGTGGGGTCGAATTCATAACTCCTCCCTCCCCAAGAGCGAAATTATCGGCATTTTCAGGAATTCGATTATTTCGCCCAAAAACACATTTATTTTTAAAATACTTAACTACGACAAAAATACAGAAAATAGTTAACATAATAGCATACAATAATATAGTTCCTAAACTAACACTTTTAACGTTAATAGCACCGGCACTTTCACTGAAATTGACTTTTTTGAGTTTCACTAATTGGTTCAACTGTTTTGTTTCATCTAAACTTATACCTTTTAGGCTCGCTCCATTGACACTGATAGGCTTTATAACTTTCAATTCTGGTAAGTTGGTTATTGGATAAAGCCGATAATTTAGATTTTCCGCCGAAGATTGGTGGTACTTGAAATGGATTTTTCCGATCTCGGTTTCACAAGCATCATTCATGGTGATAATGTAAGTACCATGTAAAGACTCGTGAGTGGCGTCATTGCCGCATTTTCTATTAAGTAGAGTGTGATTTTTCACATAAAGTATCCAGCTTCCAAGGCTTATACGTTGGGTTTTGATGTTTTCGATTTCAATAGCATGTTGTTCACATGCATCAGGATTTTGTTGAAACTCCATGAGTTGTTCGACGCAGCTTTGTTCCGTATGGGGTAGCACGTCGTCGTTATAACAAAGGTAACGGTCATCTTCTGCAATCTGCTTACAGGCTCTTAGGACTGGTAAGTACTCCTTATCTTTCACCAGGAGGAATGGGTATTTTGGGATAACGATTACAGTTTGGTTTCTAACGTGAACAGGCAAGGAATAAATTTTGAAATAATTATAAATCTTATTATCCACTAAAGGGACCTCGAGTATAAACGTGATCTGGTTTACTTTGACAAAAGCTTTAACTTTGATACAATTTTCCAACTTAACTAAGTTCTTTTCATTTACAGTGTATAACAAATTTTCAGTTTCCGCAATTTCGTATAATAATTTTAACAGTTCTGTAGAGTTGACAATTGATTGATGCAGGACAGAGACCTTACTAAATGCTAGTGCAGTTTCAATTTCTCCGAGTATTAAATTGATAGTTCTAAAGTTATGGGAAAACATATTGAACATTCCTAATATATAAGTTGAATAAATTGAATTTTCCTCTTTAGTGACCATATTTTTAACAATTCTTTCAATTCTCTTTAACCGTTCATCTAATATTAATGTATTGTTATGTAAGGTTTCTGTACCATTTATTACATTATTCACAACTTTTGAGACTAATGTAAATTTCGTTTCTGTCACTAACTGATTATCTTGCAATTTAGAAATCAAAGAGTCATATCGGATTGCATCATCATGGTCTAAATTTCCGGTAATAATTTTTATCATAGAACCGAGAGGGTTAATAATGCCTCTTTTGAATCTTTTTGAAGGTACTATTTGCCGAAATTTTTCAATAGTTGCATCCTTTAGATACCCTACTTGTGTACGGATACCGAGAAATTCGTAAATATAAGGTTTATTAATATCAATCAATGACGTAAACTCTTTGTATTTCGTTACACAAAATTCTAAGTCTGTTTCTAAATGTTTTAAATCAAATGTTTTAATTATAAGCCACTTGTCTGTTTGCATGGAAGCATGACCTTGCTTGACGGGCAGGATCCCAGGGTTCCTTTCAAGTTTTTGAAGTTGAAGGGCCCGTGTTTGTCGGTCTATCATCAGAATCATCATCGGACACCACCTGTGGAGGGCGTTTAATATTTTTAATCGGTACTGTGGTATTCCTACTACCAATTCTAACTGGGACTATGTTTCGTTCTATTTTACCAATGACAACGGCTTTTCTATATCGCGGCTTATCCTTACTTTTTCTAGTATTACATTCTTTCGCGTATATGATATCACCTATTTTAAAACTTTTATCTGACTCTCCGCCCTTTTGTTCTCTAATTTTTTTCTTATGTTGTAACATTTTATCTGATATGTAGTCATATAAATATCTAATGCGTTTGGCGTGATCTTTAATTAACTGTTGTGTATAATTCTTTTCAAAATTCGCTGTAAATGTTGAATTTGAATCGGTATGACCAAAAACTACTTCGAAAGGAGTCAGACCGGTTGCAGTGTGTATAGTGTGATTATAAGCCATGATGGAGTAAGACATTACAGTTGCTGCATCTGTACACTTCCGTTCGTATTTTGCCAACCTATATATCTCTATAATTGTAGAGTGGAACCTTTCAATTATTCCTGTGGAATTGGGGTTATTAGGAGTGCTAATGTGTAATTGTATGTTGTACATAGCTAAAAGTTCTTTTAGAAGGTCATTATTAAATTCACTACCCGGGTCGGATGTGATTCTCTTAGGTGTTCCATATATAGAGAAATATTTAATTAACGCTCTTA